GCTGGGGTAACTCAGGAAGGGTAGCAGCAAGGCCTGAGTGTGGTGCAACGATTAAGCCAGCAATGAGCATCAGTTCAAGTCCCCACTCATCCCTTCCCATCCAGCTCCCTGCTAATGCACCTGAGAAAGCAATGGAAGATGGCCCAAGTGCTTTGGCCCCTGCCACCCACGTGGGAGACCCAGATAGCTTTCCAGGCTCCTGGCTTCAGCCTACCCTAGTCCCAACCAGCATTGTAGCTATTTGGGGAGTTCACCAGCTGATGGAAGATCTCTTTCTCTCTCTCTCTCTCTCTCTCTCTCTCTCTCTCTCTGGCCCTCCCTCTCCCTCTCTCTCTCTCTAACTCTTTCAATACACAAATAAATCTTTTTTAAAAAATATACAGGATGGATTGTGAGGTCTCATGTTACAAGAAATATTTCTTTCTAACTGAGATCTGGGTCTGAGAATGCTTGTTTCATATACAATGAGCTAAGCAAATACTTGAGATGTACAGTATCCAGTTTTTGAAATTAATGATACAGTCCTGTTTAAAACAATTGTGAAAAAAAAGTTTAATTTGTTTAAAGCTTCTGTTGAGGTGGTCATTAGTGGCACAAGACAAGCAGCAACATTCCTAAAAGTACATTTTCAGGAGGCAAGCGTTTGGCACTGTGGTTAAGCTATCCCTTGGGGTGCCCACAACCCATATCTGGATGCTGGGGTTCGAGTCCCAGCTCTACTTCCAATTCCAGTTTCCTGTTAATGCACATCCTGGGAAGTAGCAGGTGATGGCTCAGATACCTGTGTCTGCCTCCCAAAAGGAAGACCCAGATGGAGTTCCTGGCTCCTAGCTTTGGCCTGGTCCAGCCGGTCCTGACCATCTTGGCAAATGAAACAGCAGATGAAAAATCTTTCTGTCTGTTTCTTATCTCTCGATCTCAGTGTCTTCCTAATAAAATTGAAATGAATAACAATTTTAGAAAAAAAAAACATAACAAATGTGTATCTTCATAAATCCATGTGAATTTGCCTATGAATCTTTCCCCTACTTCATCTCAACAGATTGTTTTCAATTTTATTTTTGCTTTCATGTGCTAAGTTGTTGAATACCCAGGCTCTGATCCCAGTTTGGGCTTCAGCTTTTTTCTAAATGCTTGAATAATGGCCCAGATTATGTCTCGTTTTTAAAGCAACAGCCTTTCAGCCTAAAGTGAGTCAGTCACTCTAACGGATGTGAGTTTCTAAGTTGGCAAAGGCTACGGACCCAGTTAGCAATCCTAGTGTGAACGTCTCTTTGAGAATTTGGGAATTTCCAAACCTGCGTGCTTATGTGCATGGCACCTTGTTTTACAAAGTTTTCTCTACTCTCAAGAGAAAGAAGACCCTTCAATCAATATTCTGTACTCCGATATTAGGGGACAACACAAAAGGAGGTCTGTCAGTTCAGTGATGTTCAAACGGGCTCAACCACTTCCTGGGAGCTCTCTCTTCCTTGAGTGCCTGTCGTAAAAGTTTTGTAAAAAAATATAGTCAACTTCATTTCTTTTCTTTCTTTTTTAAAGATTTATTTATTTGAAAGGCAGAGTTACAGAGAGGCAGAGGCGGAGGCGGAGAGAGAGAGAGAGAGAGAGAGAGAGAGAGAGAGATCTTCCATCCACTGGTTCACTCCCCAAGTGGCTGCAATGGCCAGAACTGGGCCAATCCAAAGCCAGGAACCAGGAGCTTCTTCTGGGTCTCCCACATGGTGCAGGGGCCCAAGCACTTGGGCCATTTTCTGCTGCTTTCCCAGGCTCATTAACAGGGAGCTGGATCAAAGTGGAGCAGCCAGGACTTGAACCGGCACCCGTATGGGATGCTGGTGTCACAGGCAGCAGTTTAACTGGTCACACCACAATTCCAGCCCCATTTTCACTTTGAAGAGGTTGTCTAGCCTTTCTTTTGTTTAAAGGTAATAAAGAAGAATTTAATACCTTGGAAGACACCTCCTTTCTTTTTAGGAAACTCTTCGTCACTAGAAGGCTCTTGTTCATGTTTCTTCCAAATATGACCACTGGTGCTTACCCAGGCCCACATGTCTTTTGAGGAAAGCAGAGTGAAAGATTCCTCACCCAGGTGCCCCTTCTCACCACAGGAAGACAACCAGCAACTCACTGTATTCTCTTTATCTTCCCCCCTGTGACTCCAGAAAGAGGTTGGAGGAATTGCACATACAATTGCCATACAATGCATGGCTCTGGAAAGCTTGGATGTGAGTCACATATTGGGATGTACTATAAATGTGAATCTGGCTGTGTTTAATGTACTTTATAGAGAGACTAAACAAACAAAATCTCTAGAAGGCATAAGAATTGGAATGCATTTGCAACCTGCTGAGAAATTCTTCTTAAAAGAAGTAGGTGTGGGGGCCAGCATTGTGCCTTAGAAGGTTATGCCACTGCCTGCAGTACTGGCATCCCACACGGGCAATGGTTAGAGTCCTGGCTGCTCCACTTCTCAACCAGCTCTTTGCTAATGTGCTTGGAAAAGTGGCGGAGAATGGCCCAAGTCATTGGACCTATGCATCCACGTAGGAGCTGGCTTCATCCTGGCACAGCCCTGGCCGTTGCAACCATTTGAGGAGAGAACCAGTAGTGAAACATCTTTCTCTCTCTCTCTCTCTCTCTCTCTCTCTCTAACTCTTTGAAATAAATAAAATAAATATTTTTTAAAAAAGAGGTAGGTGTGATTTATTCTTTTTCATGGATATACTTGAGTAATAGATAATTTGACTGTGATTATTTCATATGTGTGTATATGCAAAGTTAAAATAAAATAATAGCATTCCTAGGGCTGATGTTTTGACTGAATGGGGATACATACTCTGCAGGATGCTTTCTTCCTTGAGTGACCCACAAGGTGTTGATTGGCTTGAAGGCCAGGACCGGCTTATTCTTAGTCTCACCGATGCCCAGTGCACCAATACTATGCACAAAGTTATCTTCAATAAATGCTTGTTGAACTGAATTTACTTGAGTTTCCAGAAATGGAGAGACCACCAAAGAAGGGTACAAATAAACGGGGATTGAACTTAATGGAAGATTTTGAACCAGACTCTTCTAGTATTGTCCTCTTGCCTTCCAGAAATGCTCTCAAGGAGAAGAAATAAACTGAAAACATTTTGGTTAATTATGTCCAGCTCATCTTAGAAGTTCTGCCTCTAGAATTTCAATATTCTGATAGCCTGAAAGCAATGACTTCTTGTTTTTTTTTTAAGATTTATTTATTTATTTGAAAGGCAGAGTTACAGAAAAGCAGAGATAGAGAGAGAATGAGAGAAAGAAAGAGAGAGAGAGAGAGAGAGAGGTCTTCCATCCAATGGTTCACTCCCCAGATCGCTGCAACAGCCGTAGCTGCACCCATCCAAAGCCAGGAGCTAGGAACCTCATCTGGGTCTCCCACGTGGGTTCAGGGGACTTGAACCATCTTCTACTGCTTTCCCAGGCCATAGCAGAGAGCTGGATCAGAAGTGGAGTAGCGGCTGGCGCCGCGGCTCACTAGGCTAATCCTCCGCCTTGCGGCGCCAGCACACCGGGTTCTAGTTCATGTTGGGGTGCCAGATTCTGTCCCGGTTGCCCCTCTTCCAGGCCAGCTCTCTGCTGTGGCCAGGGAGTGCAGTGGAGGATGGCCCAAGTCCTTGGGCCCTGCACCCCATGGGAGAGCAGGAGAAGTACCTGGCTCCTGCCATCGGATCAGCGTGGTGCGCCGGCCACAGCGCGCCAGCTGCGGTGGCCATTGGAGGGTGAACCAACGGCAAAGGAAGACCTTTCTCTCTGTCTCTGTCTCTCTCACTATCCACTCTGCCTGTCAAAAAAGAAAAAAAAAGTGGAGTAGCTGGGACTAGAACCGGCACCTATATGGGATGCCAGTACTGCAGGCAGCGGTTTTACCTGCTGTGCCACATCACCAGCCCCAGCAACAACATTTTTTTTCTTTTAAAGATTTATTTATTTATTTGAAAGTCAGAGTTACACAGAGAGACGAGAGGCACAGAGAGAGAGGTCTTCCATCTGCTGGTTCACTCCCCAGATGGCCGCAACGGCTGGAGCTGAGCCGATCTGAAGCCAGGAGCTAGGAGTTTCTTCCGGGTCTCCCACATGGTGCAGGGGCCCAAGGGCTTGGGCCATCTTCTACTGCTTTCCCAGGCCATAACAGAGAGCTGGATCAGGAGAGGAGCAGCTGGGACTAGAACCAACACCCATATGGGATGCTGGTGCTTCATGCCAGGACTTTAACCCAGTGTGCCACAATGCTGGCCCCCAGCAACATCTTTTTATGTGTCATCATTAGCATTCTTTTCCTTTCAAGTCACTGTGTACTTTAGACATAGCCTTCTATGGGAAGCATTTTTGAATAAAAGGAGAAATGATAGGCAGGGATGTTTTGGGAACGTATATGGGGGACAACTGTACAAGGCTGGGAGTCAGAGAAACTCAAGTCCATGACCTGGTGAAGAAATTGGGAGACTCCCCCCCCCCCCCAGGAGAAAGATTAGGGTGGGAAGGAAGCTGTTTGGGAGTCACACCAAGGCGAAGCTGCTGTTGGCTGCACCTCCTGAGAGCATTCTGACCCAATGACCTACTTCGTGCAGGGCTGACTGCTGTAGATTACAGCACAGCACAACTGCCAGGGTCTGTAAGTGCAAAACACCCCATGGCCATGTGCACTTGTTTGAGGACTACTTGTACTTTAACCAGATACTCAGATTAACAGCAGCTCTTGCCCTATCACAGGAAGCACAGCTGTTTTCTGAGAGTAAAGCAGGCATGAACTTGGCCCTGGATTCACTTGGCCCTGGGAGAGTTTGACTCAGCTGACAACAGAAGTCCAGTCAGGAGGGCAAAGGACAGAGTCCCCAGGTAAGCGATCAGCATCTGGGAGATCTTCTGGATGGTAATCTCCACTTACCAACCAGCCCAGATTTCAGGAACAGGCTCTCTACTCCCAGGGAAAGAACACACAATGCCAGACAAAGCCTGCATACCGGAATTATGGAACATTGGCCCGGGATAACGTTCTGTGATGCTTGGCGCCTTGATATAAAAAACATCCCCTTTCATCCTCAGCAGGATCCTGTTTAGGACAATAAATTTTATGTGATAATGGGTAGGGAATTGGAAGGATACCAGAAAAACAACTTTTGCAATAGGAACCAAGTTAAAGACCAGCTTTATAAACTGGGGCAGAAGGGATCAAGGTAAGAACTGTGACCTAGGACCATTGGGTAGGACAAGCAAGCTGCCCCTGCAGATACTAGGAATTTCCATGACACTATCAGCCATTTCCCACACAGAATGACAATGAGGGCCACGTCTTTACTCACAACAACCCCTTCAATCCTCCTCTAAAACACAGGGGGATATGTCTTCCTAAATCAATATTTCTATTCTCAGCCTCATAGTGCAGAATGTCCACTATTTACTTACCATTTAAAACAGTGCCTACTATCCCTGAAAAACAGAAGGTTTTACACTGGTATTCTTCCCAAACATATGGATAAGGCACTCTACAAGGTAGAGGTCACATATTGCTTATAACTTAATTGTAAAGTTAGATAGCTAAATAAGTTTTAAAACGGCATATTTATAGAAACATAGTGTCTGATTGTTAAACCACTTGTGTTAACTATAATTTATTTTTATTTATTTATCTTCATTTCTATTTGAAAGGGAGATACATAGACTGAGATTTTTCCATTCCTATGACTTACTTCCCAGAAGCCTGCAAGGGTTGGGGTCCTGATTGGGCCAGCCCTAAATGAGGTACCTGGAACTAAATATGAGTCCCCCATCTGGGTGGCAGAAATTGAAATACTTGAGCCATCACATGCTGACTACCTGGGTGCATATTAGCATGGTACTTGAATTGAAAGAGGAGTTGGGACTCTAACCCATGCACTCTGATATGAGATGTGCAGCTCCAAGCAGTATCTTATCCACTGTGCCAGACACTCTGGCTATAATTTTTATGAAAGTTCAAAGAGAAAGAGTAACCATTTCGGACCTGAGAAGATCAAAGAAGTTTTATGAAGGCAGAGAAGCATCAGGTCTTGAAAAACTTCCCCTTTATTATATATGTATTCCTTGTCAGGCATATTCATGAAAGGAGTCTTATTTCTCAGAGCAACCCTGTGATGTAGGCCTTAGGGTCCATAGTGTATGAAGGAAGCAACTGAAGCTCAGGGGGCTTCCGCAGCTTGTCCTGGGTCACTCAGCCAGTGCAAGGCAGAGAGGGCTCAGACTTACTTAAACATTTCTAGTTTCCCCACGAGGGTCAAAAAAATCCAAGTCAGGTTGAACTGTATTTACAACTACAGGGAGATCTAATAACAGAAAGTGTATTGGAACTTCCACCAACAGCTCTGTTGGATAGAGAGATTTCAGGTGAAAGAGTGGCACTTCAGTAAAAAGCTAAGTAACCAGGAGTTGGGGAAAGGCCTTGAACAGTAGTGCAAACAGCAACTAGAAACTCTATGTTTGGGCCAGACCCTCCATGCCTGGGGCTCAGGCATGGGCACAAAGCTCAGGGTCCTGGGTTGTGCTCACTCAAGGTAAAAGGGCATGGGCAAGGTACTCGCTATCAAAAGAAGAAACAACCTAAGACTAGAAGGTACAGATAAACTTAAAACTAGGAAAGAAAACAGAGGTGCTGGTGTCATGGAGTGCAACGCAAGAGCTGTGGATTCAGTTAAGTCTCAACTTTCCCACTTACTATATGCATGACTTCAGGATGGTCACTTGGCATCTCTCAGAGCTCGTTTCCTCGTTTGTGAATTATACTTACTTTAGGGTGGATATTATGGTTGATTCCTGAAAGTCCTTATCATCTCAGCTGGTCCATCTAAACCAATCACTTAATCTCATTCTCCTTGCTAGTGACTGGTCAGGGGATGACAAATGAAATATCAAGAAGGATGCTGTGGACTGAATTGTGTCCTCTCAAGTTGTTATATTGAAGCTGAAACCCCTCAATGTGCTGGTATTCGGTGACAGGCCTTTGAGAGATGATTAGGTCGAGATGAGGGCATGACAGTAGGGCACAGAAAAACAGAAGGCTTGTTTTCTCATCATCATCATCATCATCTCTCTCTCTCTCTCTGCCTTGTGCGGATACACTGAGAAGGTGGCCTTTTGCAAGCCAAGAAAAGAGCCTTTACTGGAACCGTATCATGGTTGTACCTTGTTCATTGAATTCTACAACTACAAGAAAATAAATTTCTGTGGTTGAAGCCTCCCAGTCTATGATATTTTATTAAAAGTGCCCAAGCTTACTAATACAAAGGGCTTAGTGAAATTGGAAAAGTTTTTTCTTGCTCTGTTAAGGGAACCATAAGAAATCTCTTTCTCACTCCGTTTATCAGAAAAAAGAAAAAGTCACTTCAACTGCCACCAGCACCCATTCCACACCACTAGGGAACTCACCTTCAGAACAAAAGTGATAAATAGAATTGGACAGAATTGCAAGGAAATGGAAACAGAACCTTGATCAGAGCATGTCTGAAGCCAGTGCTATTATGTCTCCTATTATATAAGGCAATTCAATTTCTTATTATTTAAGCAACAGAACTCTATAACTTGCATATGATAGCGACCAAGTGTTATTGTGAGGATAAAACCAAATAATTAAGAGCCGGCATTGTGGCGCAGCAGGTTAAGCTACTGCCTGCGATGCAGGCATCCCATACCAGAATGTCAGTTTGAGTCCTGTTTGTTCCACTTCCAATCCAGTTCCCTACCAATGCACCTGGAAAAACATCAGAAGATGCTCCATGTACTTGGACCCCTGCCACCACGTGAGAGACCCTGATGGAGTCCCTGGGTCCTGGCTTCACCTTAATCCAGCCCTGGCTGTTGTGGCTATTTGGGGAATGAAACTGCAGATGGAAGAGCTCTCTCTTTTACTCTCTGTCTCTGTCTCTTGGTGACACTCCTTTCATAAAATTAAAAAAAAATAATTAAAGACCTTATTACAGTGCATGGCACATATAAATCATAACTATTATTGTTTTCAAGTGGGTAGCTAATTTGTAGATCACTCAACATAGTGATCATGACTGGGATATCTATCTACCAGAAATTTCCTGGCAGTGAGGGCTATCATGAGCAGAATTTGTCTTTGAAAAAGAAAGAAGACTAGAACAAGAGATAGGGAATTAGTGTGGGATTTGCTTCCTGGCAAAGCAGATTTAGAGTCTGGTTGACAGGAACATGACCAGCAGGAGAAACAAAGCAGAATTGACATAAATGCCAACAGCAGTGAGCTCCTGCCTAATTTCCGGTTTTCAGCTCCAAGTTTTCCTGTGGCCCTAATAAACCAAACAGCCAGTTCTACCTTAGAAACTTCATTACATTCTTTTCCTTGCTCTCAATAGAACTTCCATTATTTGTTTCACTGGAAGGCACTCTTACATAAACTCTACTTCTTTTGTTTAAATGGTCACACTATTTAAACAGATGAAAAATAGTAAAATTAAAGTAGTTCATGTAGTTCTTATTCAGTTGTATGTTTTTTTAAAGAGTCAAGTGGCCTAATTGTGTATTTAAAGCAAAGCAATAAAAACATCTGAAAACTATTCCAAAACCACATTGTTTACTTGCTGCTGAGCAGTTTTTAAACAAAACCAAGGTAACCAGGAAGATAGTTGCTCTAGGCCACTGGACAGCTCTTCCTTGAATTGTTGTAACTGGTAATTAAACTGGTGTACATGGGATGGTTGTTACTGTTTTCTATTTTTATCAGTTTGCCTGTAAATTCTGAAAACTATTCAGTCCTTGAATATTTATGAAGTCATTTCCTTTTAAGAAGTATGTAAAAGAGATTAAATTTGCAGTTGTGACCTTAAAACAAAATTTAGAAAATATGCAAGATTTGACTACAAGGATGTTCACTGTAGCACTGTTTATAATAGCAAAAAAAAAAAAAAAAAAAACCCTCAGTGTCCAAAAATAGAGAATTGGTTAAATCGATTATGGTCCATGTGTAAAATGCCATTAAAATATATGGTATGGGGGGCCGGTGCTGTGGCACAGTGGGTTAATGCCCTGGCCTGAAGCGCCAGTATCTCATATGGGCTCCCATTCAAGACCTGGCGGCTCCACTTCCAATCCAGCTTTCTGCTATGGCCTGGGATAGCAGTAGAAGATGGCCCAAGTCCTTGGGCCCCTGCACCCATGTGGGAGACCCGGAAGAAGCTCCTGGCTCCTGGCTTCGGATTGGCACATCTCCGGTTGTTGCGGCCAGTTGGGGAGTGAACCAATGGATGGAAGTCTTTTCTCTCTCTCTGACTCTTCTCTCTGTGTAACTCTGACTTTCAAATAAATAAATAAATAAATCTTTAAAAATATATATATGGTATGGGAGCTGGCATTATAGAGCAGTGAGTTAGGCTACCATTTGTGATGCCAGCATTCAGATTGCCTAGTTGAATCCCAGCTGCTCCACTTCCAATTCAATTTCCTGCTAATGTGCCTTGGAAGACAGTGGAAGATGGCTGGAGTGCTTGCACCCCTAACACCCACATGGAAGATCAGGATGGAGTTCCTGGCTCCTGGCTTTGGCCTGGCCCAGACCCGGCTGTTGTGGCTACTGGGGAATGAATCAGAGGATGAAATCTCTCTCTCTCTCTCTTTGCCTCTTTTTTTTTTTTTTTTTTTTTTTTTTTTTTTTTGGACAGGCAGAGTGGACAGTGAGAGAGAGAGACAGAGAGAAAGGTCTTCCTTTTGCCGTTGGTTCACCCTCCAATGGCTGTTGCGGCTGGCGCACTGCGGCTGGCGCACCGCGCTGATCCGAAGGCAGGAGCCAGGTGCTTCTCCTGGTCTCCCATGGGATGCAAGGCCCAAGGACCTGAGCCATCCTCCACTGCCTTCCCGGGCCACAGCAGAGAGCTGGCCTGGAAGAGGGGCAACCGGGACAGAATCCGGAGCCCCGACCAGGACTAGAACCCAGTGTGCCAGCGCCACTAGGTGGAGGATTAGCCTATTGAGCTGTGGCGCCGGCCAAATAAATGCATATTTTAAAAGAGAATTAGGACAGCCCTGTAAGGGTCTGCAGCAGTACCTAACAAAGTGTGGTAA